GGATAAAATTCCCCAGGTTTAGACCCTGGTGTCTTTTTTAATCGGCGAAAGACTAAACCGGCGATGCGTGTTAGACATAGACTTTGGGATTTTTGACAAACCCCCAGCCTTCAACGGGTTTGATGTGCCTTTACCGATTACCGTTTGAATCGGGCTAGCATGCGGATTGTCTAAATCCGTTCGCATGTGACGTTGTGCTAAGAGAGTGAATTCTCTAAGACTTTGTGCTATGATTTTGAATACATAGGCTTAACCATTTTTTATAGGGAAAATGTACCCCGCGCCGTGTATTAGACGACGACTTATCCCTTCTTAGGCTTCGGGATAAAATTCCCCAAGTTTAGACCCTGGTGTCTTTTTCAATCGGCGAAAGACTAAACCGGCGACGCGTGTTAGGCGTAGACTTATCTCTATTTAGGAGTTGAGATAAAATTTCCCGTGCTCAAAGTGCCCGGATTGGAAATTGGAAATTGTGTCCTTTATCAGAATAAAGACGGATTGGGAAACGAGAGAGAAAGAATTTTATATTCTATCCCCCGGGACTGAAGAGAAAGAATTTTATATTCTATCTACAGTCGGAAAGAAAACTCAAGGTGGGATCTCCACCCCCAGAATCCGAAAAGATGAAACTAAGAGTGGGATCTCCACTCCGAGAATCGGCAAAGTTCAAACGGCCCTAACTTTTATAGGATTGGTCATTTGAATCAAAAGAATCCCTCATTCATTGAGGAGAAAGCCCAATTTCGACCCTAACTTTTATAGGTTTGGTGGAAAAAAGAACAAAGGCGGATTTTCGTTTATCGAAAAGGAATGACTCGGTCTTAGTCCTAACTATTTGTAGGCTTGACTAAGTGAGATCGGGAACAATCCTAACTTTTATAGGTTTGACTGTTCGAATTGAAAGTGGACCTCTCGTTCATGGAAGGAATCGAGAAAGGAATTTGGCTTTGGCCCTAACTTTTATAGGTTTGACCTGAAAGCAAAGAAAGTGGAATACAGGTAGCAAAGAAAGTGCCGACTCGTATTATCACTCAAAGGAAGACTTCAATGCTAGGTGATTAGGACCTAACATGTTGAGTCTGAGAAATGCCAATGACTAGCAGATGGAAATGTTGGTGGATCCACTATCGATTAATTTGATCGGCAGATGGTTTGGTGAGGAAAGATTAACCTACCAGAAGGTTGGATCTCATCTCACAAAAATAACTCATAAGAGTTAGAGAATTTTGATAAAAATAAGAAGAAACATTCTGACATTCAGAGTTCGAACGTAGATTTCTTATTCATCAATTCTACAGTGACTGGGTTATCCCTAAGAATACCCCATGTAGTATTCTTCCGGGAACTTCCCGATACATTGGTTATCCTGAAGATACTAAGGGTAGTATTTTTTCAGGAACTTGCCGTTTATCGGCATCATAAGCCGGTCACCGTCCTTGGTGACAAGACGATATGCGCCACTCGAGTAGACTGTCTCTACTACGAATGGTCCCTCCCATTTGGGTTCAATCACTCTTCACTCCGCAAGGGGCAATACTAAGGCTCGGGTACGGGTGAAGTAGATCTGACGAAGAACTCTCTTTGTGTTAAAGTGTTCGATCACTCTTCACTCCGGCAGGGCTTCGCCTATTCTCCAAAATTCCAGATCTGAAAAAATGAGGCCTAAGGCTTGTATTTATAGGCACGAGGGATAACGGAGCGGTTAAAACCGCTTTAGGGGGTCAAATCCGCATTGGGACACCCATGGGGTGTCCCGGAAAATCCGAGACACCCTTGGGGTGTCCCGGAAATTCCGAGACACCCCTGGGGTGTCTTGGAAATTCCAAGACACCCTTGGGGTGTCTCAGAAAATCTAAGACACCCCTGGGGTGTCGCACATTAACCAAGACGCTCCGTTGAGGTGTATTCGTCCGCTTCCACTGTAAATTCTTCGTCCGAACTCGGATTTCAGTGATTCGAAGTGCGTTGGAAGTCTGACGAAGAGTTCTATCAGCTCCGATGGTTAGATTATCTGTAGGATGAACGAGACACGAAGGACGTTGTTCCTTTTGTAAACATTGCGGGGCTCCCGATTAGCCCGTGCCTTCGTAGTTCCAGAATTCTGTCGGCTCGCGTAGTTCGTCGATTCACTTCAAGCGTTCACCGACGTTAATTGAACTGCTATGAACCGGATAGTGACGTTCATCGTCGTTCCTTAACACTGAGCTGTTCGCAGAGGCCTATAGGCGATTTTCGATGCCTACACCGGGTAGTCTATTTCCTTGAGAAAGACGAAGTCTACGTATTCAATATCGTAGCACTAAAAGAGTTAACTCTTTTAGCACAACGTTACATGCGGAACGGACTTAAACAATCCGCATGCAAGCCCGATTCAAACAGTAATCGGTAAAGGCACGTTAAATCCGTTGATGGTTGAGGATATGCCAAAAATCCTGAGTCTGTATCTGATACATGCGGTCGGGTAGTCTATTCCCGTAAGAAAGACGAAGTCTACATATTCAATATCGTATCACTAAAAGAGTTAACTCTTTTAGCACAACGTCACATGCAGAACGGACTTAAACAATTCCCATGCTAACCCGACTCAAACGGTAGTCGGTAAAGGTTCATCAAACCCGTTGATCACTGAGGGTTTACCAAAAATCCTATGAATATGAGAGTCATTGACGTATCAGCCCCATTAGTTGGTCTCGTGACTCGAACATCCAACAACTTCGGGATAAGATTCATATCTGCAGACGAATCAGCTTTAACAGTTGGTCCTGCAGTCCTAACTGTTGGAACCGTCATACTCCAATACCTTAAGAGCTTAAACTGTGTATACTCCAGCAAACGTACGAGTATAAACTGTGTTAACGACGAGCGATCCGAAACCCTAGGTCAACGCCGATCAACACGTAATCTTAGGTTAACGTCACTCAACGCGTTGCGACGAAAAGTCAACGTCGGGCAATCCGAAACCCTAGGTCAACGTCGGTCAACGCATAACCCTAGGCCAACGGAGATCAATGCGTTGTAACGAAAAGTCAACGCCGGGCGATTCGAAACAACATCATTCAACGCGTAGCCCTAAGCCAATATATTATGGCAGAGGTAGTCAGTTCAAAGTCAACTTGACAGCACGAGCTAAAATCAACTCACCAGTTTTGATTCAAAACTTCGACGACGGCCAGACGATAAACGTAGCGCCGGAAGAACTTCAGCTATTCGTTAAAATATCGAATAGACTGAAAATCGAAGGAGTCAAGAATCAAAGCTAACTACATGTCCATTTATACCGACTGAAGGTTGGACCGATCACATCCAAAGTATTCCAGCCTTCTCTATAAAAGAATGAGGCTAAAACACTTTGGAGGGGGTATCTGTAGGCGTCTAAAATTGCCTACGGGCCCTCACACACAACTCGAGGCACAGAGAAGACGATGAACGTCACTATCCGAGTCACAGAAGCTTAATCGACATTGACAAGCGCATGAAGTGAGTCAACGAACCATGCGAAGCAACGAAACTTCAAAATAACAGAAACACGAACTGATCGGGAGCTCCGCGTCACTTACGAAAGACGAAACACCCCACATGTCTTGTCCACTCCACAGATGGTTCAATCATGGGAGCTTGTAGATCTTCTCGACGGCTTTCCGACGTATCTTGAATCGCACGATTCCGAGTTCGGACGACGAAGATACGGCTAAAATGGACAAGACGCGCAGAAGTATGTTCTAGGCCTCGGCGAGGCACCCAGAGGTGTCGAGAGACACACAGGTGTCTCGGCCAGGCCAAGACACCCATTGGTGTCTCAGCCAGGCCAAGACACTCACGGGTGTCCGCAGACCCGAAAATCAGATTTTGACAGTTTAAAGCTGTTTTTCGACCGTTAACCGTCTGAATTTGTTTTAACTGACCTAATATCATCCATGAACGTGATTAAGTGGTTGCAACTGAGGATAAGAGAGAATCGACCGTTCTTATCCGAAAACAGGGCTGCCGAAGCCTATAAATACAGTCCCAGGGCCTTTATTTTTTCAGATCTGAAATTCTCGAGCGTTGACGAAGCCCTGCCGAACTGAAGACTGAAGAGCCACGAATTTCAGAGAGGATGAGGAGATATCAGCGAATTCTTCGGCATAAAGAAGAGGAGTTCATCAGATCTGCAGCCCGGTTCCTTCCATTGAGATTGCCCCGTTGCGGTGATCTCGAGAAGAGTGGTTATCTCGCTGTTACCGAGATAATTGTTTCAGTTTCTTGATTCCTTCGCGAATCAACGAAGCTTCGGATCTGATCTGATCGTCCCCGTCACAGGTAAAGATCTCACACAAGCAGCGGGCAATAAACACCCGTTGCGTTTGTTTGAATGAGATTGTAATTTTAATTTCATTGTGTAAAGGTCTTATAAAAAGACCGATCTTTTTTTGAACTTGTTGTAACGACTAAAGTTATAACAAGTTATACAATGAAGAAATCGATTTTCCACCCAAACACACTGGTACTGGAAGAACACGGCAATGCTAGTCTCACCACTGGCTCCACTAACCCAGATATCTTGTAAATACACAATTGACTCCTCGTTTATTCAATGTGGAACCAAATGGTTAATGGACCCCAAAATACCACTACACTTCCATACTCTCCACACCCACGCAGTCTGGCTTAGCACTTGTCTAGTCTCATCGAAACATTGCAATCCCAAATGTCACCCCTCTGGCTTTGCACTAGGCTAGTCCCAGACGAACACCGCATTGCCAACATATCAACAACCCCGCAGCCCTCTTGCAACTAGGAAGATGAGTTTGTCCCAGATATCATTAATAAGAAACCTAGGATAACTCACCCCCTAATAGCTAGCTATCTGTTAGAGGAAGGAACCCAAATCTTACCATGAGACTAAATGAACCTTCTTAACATGATACATATGGACCCCAAAAATAGTTTTCTTTTGTTCGTATTCTACTAAATTAAACAACATAAGAATGAAATCTAGCAACAACATTTAACAAGCATACCGTGGTCCCGGCGACCAATAAAATTCCACTAGTAATGCTGCCTGCGATCCAAAAGAGAAAACGTACATAAGTAACTGCCAACACGAATAATTTGGTATAATTCAGAGCGCAGCCAGTTAGCATCGAGCCTGGTTCTCTCTTCATTGTGGCCTGGTTGAGGTTGGAGAAGAGCCTCTCAAATTCCTCGGTGGGCTGCCTCCCCTGGGGCTGAGCGGAGCACCTTGTCAGGGCTGGGCTCTTGTGAGGAGGAGGAGGTGAAGGACGAGTGCAGAAATAATTGGAGGGTTTCTTGGTTGGATGAAAGGGTATGGGCCTTGTCGATGGTGATGGGTAGGTGGAGACGAGGAAAGAGAATGAAGAAGAGATCAATGGCAATGCCATCTTCTTCCTTCTCCTCTCTTTCTCTAATATAAAGGATGGAGAGAGAGAGAGACAGAGAGAGAGAGATGGCCAAGCCTCTAGTTTGTAGTAGATATACGAGCCACTGGTTTGTAGGTAAGGGTTGCCGTCGATGCAAAGTGCTCCTTTCGGACTAAATTGAAAGAAACCTTGAGATTTGAGGGACCTAACAGCAACTTTAATGATTCTAGTGACTAATATCAAATTATGCAAGACGTAAGGGACCAATATCTAAAAGCGCCAAAAGAGGATTTCTGTGGTTTATGTTGATACGTTAATTCTATCAATAATCTTGTGTCCTTAATCGGGTGGAGCTTTTTTTTATCCGGAAAGAGCAGTGAAGGATTTTATGAAAGCAAAGCCAATATTTTTACTTATTTGTTTGCCGTTGGTTCATGCTCTGTAGCTTAAGTTGTAGTTCATAATTTTTGATCGGTGTGATCACTTAAGAAAAAAGATTATATGACAAAAAAAGTGAGAAGAAGAAATTCTTCCTCCTCCATAATGCGTGAGATGGGATCCAACTCTGGACCCCAGAATAAATCATGAGAAGTTCTCCAAGCTTTTGAGAGCAGAGTCTACTTTTGGTTTTCGCTTGCTCTGCGCTCCTCTCTTTAGGTTTTTATAACCAACAATTTATGTAGTTATGGCTAGCCCGCAGAAATCTCAAGGGATCTTTTATCTTTATATTGATAAGATCTTGCAAATTTAGGGGACAACAAGAACACGTACGTTTGCAGTGTTCAAATTTTGCATCCGGACATGACAATGTATAACATTAAGGCAGAAATTAGAATTTGACCTTTAAAATAGTTCATGTTATTACAGGCAATGGAACTATTCAATAGTTTGTCACTAGCAATTTAGAGAACACTTTAAATTTTGTGTATCAAAACCTTAAAGAGTTCATGCAAATATTAGCAGTGAGCACAATAAGATGTACACTGTATTCATGAAATGTTTTATCTTCTACAAAGCATGACGCACAAGTTCTCTCAAAGGCATCTACACAACTAGGAAAACTGCATCGGTAATTTCTTCAAATAATACTCTGTAGATGGTTACAAAATGAATGTTTTGCTACTCCTGCAGCCAAACTTGTTTGCGAAGTGGCACGGTTTTCTGGAACCAGAAACTATAGCTTATTCTCTGCTTGACTTCATTTGTACCAACCAGCAAGAACGAATCTCAGACCGAAACAGAGCAGGCATGCCAAACCCTGCGATAAGATCATCTTCACTCTGGTTAGCAAGACATTATTGAAAGAAAAAACAGGAAACACAACATAGAACTGAACAATTTCCATCCAGAATAGCATGAAACTGAAATAAATGCATTTCCCTTCGGTTCTTATCTATCTATCTATCCCTGAGATAATCTCATGAGAGTAAGTTATGGGGGGAAATTACCTGGAAAATAAGGAGTCTAATGCACAAAGCCTTCTCAGAGCACTGTCCAAACAACCGGAGAAATAGGTTGACAAGCGTCCCATCTTTTGTTCCAGTAAGCAACCCTGTATGAGGATCAAATCTGCAATGAAAATACTTAAAATGTGTTAAAACTTTTCATTGCTTGTGAAACATTTTTTTTTTGTAGATCATTTTGAGAAGACGTTCATTTTCAAGTCATTCTTAATGGTACCTTGGCAGACGATGCCTTGGACAGGGAATGATCTTAAAAAGCTGACAAGAAAAAGATAGAAGAAAATTGCATGAGATGACACACAATAAGTAGACGCAAACAAAATAAAGCATGCCTATGTGTCAGCAAACCTGAGGACAGGAATAAAGAAAATTTAAGACTTGAGGCAAGAAGAATAGTAGGAGTGTCTCGCTGCACATGAAAACATGACAGTGGTGAGTATCGAAAAGAAACCAGATGATTACAATATTCTACATACATGAAAATCTTCTTGCTCAATTAAATGCAACCATTCGCAACATCCATTCTCAGAATAAAAGCTATATGATAAATTATCTCAAGACTGACAAGTCCAAGTATCATCATCTCCACAATCTCCCAATCCGGAACAAATCATGGAGAAGACACTTAAATCCAGAAGACTGTATAGAAAGATAGAGAGTATATTCTTTTCATAGCATTTCTAGGGGTGGAGAAAAATGAAAGATGGAAGGGTATTCATCAATTTGGCATCACCATCGGTCAACAATATGCGATGGTGATGCCACATTACAGGCAAATGATACTATTGGCAACTTGTGAGTTCTATAAGACCTAAAACTAAAAGACTTAACTCGTCAAAAGAAAAACAGAAGACTCACCTTATTAATCACAATGCTTAAGTTCATGAAACAAAAGACCAAACTTTACATTCCCCTGGACAAAAACAAATAATGTGGAGAACTTACAAACAAACAAATGGTATGCAAACTTTTGTTGTTTACTTGTCTCTTTAAAGGAAAAAAGAAAATATTAGTAACCAACAAAGGGCTCCAACAATACACACAAAATAACTATACAACTTTTACTCCTTATATTCACCCACATATTTCCACCAGTAGACAAGTGATACAAGACTCTTACTTAATATCTTCTGAATGAAGCGGATAGTAGAGTTTATCATCAATAAGGATGATCCACCATCCATTTCGATGGCTTATCTTATCGACTGCTATCCAGAACTTTAAGTAACTCTATTAAATATTCATATCCTGTTCAATTGATATGCAAGTGAGGGGTGTTCAAGCCAGGGCATATCATCAATAGAAAACATTATAATTGCTGTTTTGTGCTTCCTGTGCGTGCAGCCGTGCAGGTTTGATGATAATTTCTTTCCATGTTTGACTGTTCCTCTAGAGTTTCTAGTTATATAAGTGCTTTATTTATGGAAATTCATACATAAATTATTAGAAATACATAATAGGGTTAATAGGAGATACACAGGAGTCTATCCGCATTCCACAATAATTGCATAGTAAGATAGAAATTACGCCAATGCTATCCAGAACTTTAAGTAACTCTATTAATTATTCATATCCCGTTCAGTTGAAGTGCAATTAGGAGGATGTTCAAGCTAGGGCATATCATCATGAAATTATGATTGCTGTTTTGTGCTTACTGTGCGCGCAGGATTGACGATAATTTCTTCCATGTTTGACTGTTCCTCGGGAGCTTCTAGTTAAATAAGTGCTTTATTTATGAAAATTCATGCATAAGTTGTCAGAATTACATAATAGGGTTAATCGAAGATATACAAGGGGTCTATCTGCACCATTAGAATGAAAGGGGGTCTGTCCACAATTGGGCAATAGTACAGGGGGTTGATCCGCATTCTGCAAGTAACCCTACATAATAAGATAGAAATTTATGCCTTACAGTGGTGTAGATACCTGAAATGGCCAAGTATCCCAACCACAGCCATAGTCATTCCAGCAAAATAAGTATAGGTGTCACCAACAAAAACTGACGAAGGATACCTGTCATTTAAGGTGAACGAGTTACCATCTAGATGTATTTTAAATTACAAGCCCAGTCAAGAAAATAATTAAGAATCCATAAAAATTGATAATTATTAAGAAACTTAAAATGAAGATCTACATAAGATGTGTACCAGTTATACGAAAGTAAAGCCAATGAAGTAGCCAGGAGAGGCAGGATAAGGTAAATTGAGAATGCATGAGCCTGTTTGTACTCGGGGTCTGAAGATGCACCAATTTGCATCACATTATGTATCAAAATCTGCCATTAACAGCTATCATTATTCCATCAGCGCTAAAACTTGTAATGTAAAAATATAAATATCAATACTAAGGATGATTCAAGCAACATGTATTTATCTTACTGCAGTTGAAATGACAACTGTTTGCCCGACTTCAAGACCATTAAGTCCAGCATGAATGTTAATGGCATTTGTGCAAAATACTGCCAGCATGCCCATATAGAGCTTGTATATCCAACCTGTCCTTTCGAAGTCACACAAACATGAATCAACCCTATCCAGCCAAACATTGAAATATAACGTACCCAAGTAAATATTTGCATAAGAATGCTTATTGCTATTGAGGATTTTACATAGCAAGAATGGCTTCATCATCGACAAATATTAAATAAGATAAAAAAAATGGCATCTTGATCTCTTCTTAGGATTTTATGTCACAGTAATGAAAGAAACGAAATAACCAGAGAATAAAATTGTTTTATTAGCTCTACCAGTGGCATTTCCTATTTCTATCTCCTGCCAGTCATAAGGTTTCTGCCCAGATCTTAATGCTGAAAATAATAAAAGTAGTCAAGGAAAGATTTTAAAATTTGATATTGTCTTTCTAATGTTTTAAATAAAGTTTATCACAAAGCAAGAAGTTCTACAAGAACTCTTGAAAGAATAGAATCTTTATTGAAATATTTTCTCCTAAATGGTGTAGAGAATTATAAAAAGACCAATATATTATCCATCTAACCCCAACCTCTCTAAAATAGAGGTTAAGAGGATATTACAAAACAGGTATGAGATAAAATTATATCTAACCATATCATTTGATATCTCAATAATGTCTCATAATATATTCCTTAACACTCTCCCTCAAGCTGGAGCATGAATATCATACATATCTAGCTAGACTAGCCTGTTACAAATAAAGTGCACACACTCTAATCTGTGACAATACTTTAAAAAAAGTCAAAGTAGTCTTGACCTTCTTCTCTTTCACTTGGATGTCTTCAAATCAGCTGATCCCTTCTAAGGCTCCACCGATCAAATGATCCTTAAAGGATCCAACAATAAATGATCTTTCTAAGATCCAACAATAAATGATCCTTTATTGAAGGATCAAACAACAAATGATCCTTCTTTCAAGAATCCAACAATAAATGATCCTTCTTTCAAGGATCTACCAAACAAATTATCCTTCCTTATAAGATCCAACAACAAATGATTTTTTTTAAAGGATCTAACAAACAAATGATCCAAGAGGTGGAGTTGACTTTGGGCTTGAGCAAAAATCAATGAGGTCAACGAGGCACAGGTCGATGAGGCAGATGAGAGCGGAGTCGGCTCTGATCAGAGCGGACGATAAACAGTAATCCGAGGATATGAAAAATACATGAGTATAGATGAACAGTAGCCTGTGGGCAGAAAATCAATGGTGAACAGTACTTGATGAACAATAGCCGGTGTGTAATTCGATGTCGAGACCGCTGAGGGTAAGGACAAAGTTTTCGGCAAAAAATCCCTCGGGAGCTCAATATAGACGATGAAGAAAGAGATCTCTCTAGGATCAAGAGGATGGCTCTGATACTACATAGAGAAATAGAAAAATGTCAAGATATTATTCTCGAACCCTATCCTCACTTAAATAAAGATTAGGAAGATATTAGAAAATAGGTATGAGATAAAATCATATTTAATCATATCTCCTAATATCTCATAATATATATTCCTTTGTAGTCCTTATAACCAAGTGTTACCCTTTCTAAAAGTCATAGCAGTAAGCCAGTAACTACTCAAGCAAGTTGGTTATAATGGTGAAATTAATCTGAGTAGGCCACAATACTCCCGGTAGGAGAATCGCCTCCAAAACAACTCCACATGCCATTTGATAATTTAATACATAATCGAGATCCTAAATATTCTTTAACTTTTCCACCCATTTACTCCCTGGAGGTCTGTCAGCTACAAATTGCTTCCTTTTCCCATCCTCCAAACATTCCTAACTCATAGATCTTGTTGTGTCTTTTACTTTACTGACCACAATGTTCCTTTTACATGATGTCTGCCACCTATATTCTCCTCATTCAATGAAATCACTCGGCCCCCATACTTACGTAGCCCCTTAATATCAGTCATCTTTGATTCAGCAACACTAGTGGGGTTCATGATATTAAAAAAAAGTTTCCCTTGGAAGGAGATGCTTAATGTATGGCAAACCAATGGGGATAGTTTCTAGAGAAAGTTTCAGAAACAGAGCACTTGGTATAGATAGGAATAAGTGAAGTTCTTTATAATGATGTATAAATCATATAAATATATTATATATGTGAAAGTCCAACTGAAACAACGATGGCCAGAGCAGGGAAGCAAAATAGGAAGAAGTTAAAGGCAGAACAAGAAGGAAACAAGCATCATTGAAACTCTAGGTGTTCTACGGTAGTACGCAACAGATCCCAGAACTATGGCAGCAACAGAAAGCAGCCCCCCAAGCTGCTTAATCAAATGAAAAAAGGAGACAGGAGGAATGGAATACTAAAAGGAAATAAGAGTAGGAAATTTTGAAAAATACTGGAATTATTCCTAAAGTCACCTTCTAAAACTCTCCATCCATGAATTACATGTGGATGCACAAAGGAAAATATAGCCTATTTCCTTTAATGAGGGCAATAGCATCCAAATAAGTTTTGAAGTAGATTCTTCATCAAAAAGTGCTACAAGAAAATTGTTAGATAAAAATGTGTTGTTCAATTAAAATGACAAAAATTAGGAAGATGCTGGTTCTAAAAGATAATTTTTTTTTAAATTACTTTTATCAAATCAATAGCCAACTAAATAGAATGTCAAATATAACGTAGTAGTAGTGGCATCAAGTTACATCTATAATTCCACTAGGAAGGAAGCAAGATTAGAAAACTATAAGCTTACCTAAATCAAGAACAGCTACCCCGATGTATTGAATTAGAGGCTTTGGTATGATGATAGTAGTATGTCCAGCATATGCCATCAACAAAGGAAGTGCTGCAAATGATGGCAACACCAGTTTTCTGTTTTTCATAATTTTTTAATCTTTAATCAATCTACCAGTTTAATTTAGAACAATAGCATACCAACTTCTCAGAGCAAACTTAGTTGATCTGTTAAATTGGACAAAGAAATAGTAAAAATGATGAAGGGCGTACACTCTCCATGGAATATGGAGAACATCATCAACAAATCCAAGCAGAATCATGAAGCAAATAGATGCTAATGCTGCATTATACTCGACAAGCCACTGCATCAGAAATATGAAGTTTTATGAAGTGCATTAGCAAAGAGTCTTAGCTGTCCAGCTAAAATTCCATACAGAAAAAAATATTTCATTTTACTAGAGAATTAAAATGACTTTCAATGTAACAAAAGTAGATACTACCAGTCCTAGATTTAGCATTAGAGCTTTAGGAGTGCATGAAGGTCGATTTTTATGCACTTCGTTCAAAATTTGAATTGAAAAAGAAATCACACAAAAAATCACCCCATTCATATTTAGTCCCTATAGCATGTGTCTAGCTTGGTTATTAAGATTGTGGACTTTTACCATCATGGACACTAGTGATTCGCAAGTTCATTATTAGGTCCAAATAGCCAATGACTTTCCACATGAGGAGATGCTTGCTAATCCAACAAATGCAAATCCAGGAGATCCAAACACAAGTGCAGTGTATTACCAAGTTGTTCAAGGATATGCCTCTAGACCAAAAGTAGAGACCACAAAGTAAGGCAACAAAACAGTTATACAAACTTAATATGAGGAGGCACAAGAAATGTAGGCAAAGCAAAGGTCAATGTGACCAAGGTATGAAAACTAGTGCTGGGGAGGATTTTAGATTGGATGGATAGGATAGATCAATGTTTTGACCGGAAGGAGATGCCTCAAAAAAAAGTCAAGTTTGTTTGTAGTATAAAGTTGAAGAGTGATGCTTTATATGTGGACAAATCCGCATAAGGTATTAATTCCCCCCTTTATGAAAAAGTTGAACTGTAGAACAAAGTTTTTAAGGCATGTGAACCAATAACCAGAGCAAATGATCCTTAACTGTGAAGCTTTAGAGAAATGTAAGAACATGGGAAGTGCCCAAGATAAAGGGATTATAAAGTCTACAATGCTGACATTCAAGGTCTATGATGCCTGTAACGCTAATTTAAGAACAAGGGATACTGGGCATGCATTATGTCATTTTTCGGATTAAATCACGTATCAGAGATGAGTTCAATTCTTATAGCAAACCCTATCATCATCCGTCCTTATAATTTACACTTTGGAAAGATAACCATTTTTAAATATTGTTAACACTAGCACGTCACGATAGTTGTTTTATGTCCTAGCAATTAAGATAGTTTGCACTTCGACGCGATAAAGTTGTCACCTTGTTTAACTTTGATGCCACGAAGTTTGTTTTTTGGCACTTTGACGCCTCAAATTTTCATTTGAATGTGATAATTTGCACTTTGTGCCAAATTTCAACTTCGGATTGAGCTTTCGACCACTGGCGATGTTTGCAAACAAGGATTGGATGACAAAGAAGGGTTCTAGGGTATGTTTCTCTTCCAATCTTTTATCAGGACTCCTTCAAGAATAATTGAGGTTTTCTCCTCAAACATTTGAGCCTAAACTGCAGATGGATAAGATCTACATCCAGTTGGTGTGGTGCCTTTTGTTGTTAATTATTTTCACCCACCGCAGTTAAATATAGATGCCATGTACAGTTGATAAACATCTAGAACAAATCTTTAGAGCAAGTTTTTGACCAAACATGATACCAAAACAAACACTGTGACAAATTAATCAATTTCAAACCAAACGTGTTTACTTTATAGCTCTAATGAAAGAATAATTTGTGTATAAAGTAAACAATTGAGGAACATACATTAGAGTCTGCTGTGAAGTTGAAATGCTGAAAAAGTATAGCGACGACCAAGTAGACAATTCCTACAACAATACCCAACGATTCAGGCCTGAAAAAATATTCACAAAACAAACCAGAATGATTCTTTAAAAAAATAAACTAAAAAAGTCGTATTTTTCTTCATATGCTTCATCAAAATTGAATCTTTAACAATAACCTCGCACTTAATTCCAAAAACAAGCAAAAAACAACTTACACTTTGATTCCTCCCTGAGGAGTTCCCTTCTTGTTAATATCAAGCCCAAACATACTCCTCCTCAACAAATACCTGGCCGCCACCGGGATCAATCGAACCGTCAGAACGAAGCCACCGAAGCTCACACCAACATTAATGGCGATCGATCTCCGAAGATCATGGTCAATTTCATAGTGAAAGAAGAGAAGATAGAAGAAAGGGAGGAGCAAGAGGGCGGAAAGCTCAACGATAAACCCCAGTCTTGGAGGAGCCAATGGCAGATCCGGCTTCGAATCGGGTTTCGGATCTTCGGATAGGATCTCGTCGGAGATCTGAGAAAGGGTTGTGGAGTCGCCGGCGGCTCGCCGGCGAGAGGTCATTTCTCTGAGGCTGAGGGTTTAGTCGGCCTCAGGTTAACGGGTTTTTGAGAGCGGAGTTTAAATTGTTCAGTGTTGTGCTGATGTGGCGTGACTTGATTGGATGGATACGTGTTTAACAGCCCGTACGTGCATCGCACGTACAAACATCAGGAATTCATTCTTAAGGAAGTTAGCACTTGAATACCTTGCAGTTTGCCCAACTTCGCACTTACATATTCCGCTTGTTTTTTCTAGCAATTATAAATCTTGAACTTTCCAAATTTTTCACTTTAATGCCTTCACTTACGCAAATGTGAGAAGTTTTCTCTGATTTTTCTATTTGACACTAGCACTCTGCTCTTAGAACTTTTTCATCGGTTAATGTTGAATTTACCACTAAATTCCACTGTAATAATATTTTACAATACGTTTGGCGTGTGTTTAAAATGAAACTAGGATGTGTTTAATGGCAAATTTAAAAAAGTTTAAGAATTAAAAAAATCTTAATTAACTTGTAATTGTCACGTGAAAACTAGCTGAAGGTATTAGATTTCAAATTTCAACTTTCAAAAAAATTCGGGGTATATAATTGCTATAAAAACTAGTGAGAGTATATACGTGCAAAAGAGAAGAAAATATGAGGTATTTCTCTGCTGCTAAGCCTTTTTTTCCCGTAAATAATTAATTCGCCTGGGGAGGGCAACTAGGTTAAATTATAGCTTTTAATCACGTCGATATTATTATTCAAGCGAGATCAAGGTACCAAGTTCAAATCATTCTCCTAGTGTTCATGAGGTATGTTTTTTGTGTCGAGAGCATTTGGGTTTGATTTCAGGCTCACCTTGGTTGAAGGAGTCCCCTGACTAAGGTGCATCGTTCCTAAAAATAATAGTACACTCTGATGGCTATTACATTAGTAGCACTGTCAAATTGACTATAAATGTTCAATATCTTGAGAAATAGCTTTCTGCTACTTACATATTTCACTAAAGCTATGTCTATGCACACCGTATTTAAATTTACAAATTTTTTTTATTACATACATTGATTTATTTAGCGGGTGACTATTATTTACCTTTGAATGTAAATTAGAGAAATAACCACAATAAAAAATATTAGTTTCTCTACTCCTTTTTCATAGGGAAGAAAATCCAAATCTTTACACATAATAAGAAATTTAAAAAATACAACCAGCGCCAGTCAAAACCCAGTCAACCGGGCGGCCCAATAATAATGCGGCCCATTCGCCACCTAACACAGTAATTCCGCAAACAGGTTAAAAAAACAAAAGAAAAGAAAAAAAATTATAATCTTTATTTCAAAAAAAAAGAAAAAAAGAAAAACAAATTTCATGAAAAGGAAAAAGGAAAGATATAATTTGTTTGAAATCTCTATGGAGCCCACCAGCCACCAATCTTTGGGGAAATTGCCTTTAATTTTTATGCCAGTGAGGGGAAATATCACGAGTCTTTATCAAATTGTTGGTTTATTATCATGGTCCATGCCCTGCCTTCTCTTTCTTTGAAGAATATCAGAGAAGTGCCTGTATTGCCTTCATTAAGAGAGAAATTATCTTTATCTTCCATTGTTTTGCAGGCTTCATATGAAAACCCATAAATAAATGTTAGTTCTCCAAGAATTATTAAGGTCCTTCAAAAGAGCTGCTATTAGTCGTTTCTAGAGTAATCCTATAACTAGTGTTTTAGCTTGTGCTAAACACGGTCTTATCGCAGTTCATCTATATTTCGTCGCGATTCAACAACTCTCATCTGAATATAATTTTTAATATCTAACGACTCAATCCCCTTCAAAACACGTGAGCCCCACTCTCACCCATCCCTAATGAGGTTAGATGACATGTATCTACATGGAAATAACTGTATCAAACAACTTATATAAAAACTATAATTAAGATCATTTAAACTAAAATTTTATAAGAAATGAATAAAATGAAGATAATCAAAATATACTAAATGCAACTTAAAAGAAATTAAGATATAAGACTATTTAATGTTCAAAAAACATCATTCGCAAATGATGCGTCACCCAAAAAAATCTCAATCAATCAAACAGTCATAAGATGTTATAAGCAAAATATAAAGAAGAGCTCTAATAATTTATGATTATTTTTTCTCCGTCTTAATCCTCTTCTTGAAAGTTGAAAGAGCTAGTTCTTTGTCTATTTTTGCAAAATAAAAAACACGTTTATTGGTAAATTTAACATCAAAAAAATATATAAAAAATTAATTAATGTATAAATAAGCCAACTTGATTGTATCCTTATTTTTTTTAGTAGTTGTAGGTGTGATTTTAAATATAGAAGAGTCAAGTGTAACAATAGGTAAAAGATCTAAAATCTTCGTTTTGCCTTTGCTATTAATGGTGGATATCAATATAGATTAGTTTGGAGTTAATTCAACAGATTGATTATCAACGACACCATCTTCATTCAATTCAATTGGTTTCTCATCATGTGATAATAATACATTCGTCTTAGTACAACATGTTAATGATTTAAATTTTGAAATAATGAAACTAATATTATATTTGGCAAACAGCTTCTTTTTCAAATTTTTATCAATACTATTTTAAATTGTCGAAAGTTTGGAGTATATTGAATTGATCGATGGATTATCATTACCATCAACCAGCGTCATATCGAGTGATTTTTCATGCTTTAATAAAAATAAATTTATTATTACAACAATGAATACATTGCAAACTTTTGAGGAATATAATTTTATTAATAAGATTATGGAAACGTTACCTTTCCGTCAATTAGTAACCTTTTGAGTTTTTTATCATCCACATCATTGTTAACAATTTTAATCTCTTGACTGTAAGCGGAATCTCCTTGTTATCTACATTATGTTTAAGAAAATACATATTAATTTTTAATTTCATCTATTAAATTAAAAACATATTAAAAATTTAATATAATTTTAATATAAATTACCAAACCCAGGGAAGATACTAACTCTGAATGACTAATTTTCATCAAACAAAGAATGTCGTGATGGATTATACAAATGTAGTGATGCATGTTCCACCCGTCACTTGTAAGGTAAGTTTGTACCTAAAGTTAACATATTTGTGTTATATACTGGTTATGTAATTTAATTTTTATAAATTGTAAATAAATTATATTTATAAAAATTATAATATCATGTTTATTTTTCTTCTACATATTTGATTTCTTTTTTATGACAATTGCAGTAAAGAACCCAATTAATCTCTTTCAACTTAGCATAAGAAAGATATCGCCAACCGGACAGCTAATCAATTCTGATGATTTGAGCGTACATTGCAAAAGTAATGTTTCTCCTAAAAATAGTATAGATAAACAATATATTCATCATCAATCGAATTATTAAAAACCAATAACATAATAAATTGCATAATAAATCAATTAAAATATTAATATTTCAAGTATATTGTGTAATAATAAGACAACTTTTATCATTGTATCGTGTTTCTTATTCGATATAGTGTTAAAATCTATAATTGAATATATATATATATAAAGTTTAAAAAATAATTCAATACAAAGATAAATCAAAATTTACTTACATCGCCGTCATTCAATTCCTTTACTTTGAAAACATCATCAATTGTACCATCATCAATTTCAAATTTAATTTGTGTGCTTAGAGATATTGTTCCAGTCTTAATAATTTGGTATTGAGTTGGTGCATCAATATAACTAAGAAAAAAGATAAGTAAAATACTTACTTATAATTATGAATAAATTTTATAAAAAGGTAATTATATTATTTCACAAAAAGTTACAAAATACCCTTGAGTTTGAACAACTCCCTTATTATCACTCAGATTTATATAAAACTTTGTAGTATATGCGGACTAAAGGCTTGTCAATTCTTTCACTGTGAAAAGATAATTAATAGAAATATAATATAATATTATGTATATATTTTAAATTATACTAGAGAGAGAGAGATATGGGTATGCTTGGTACCAAGTACAAATTTTGTGCTTGGTAGTGAGGTGACACAATCCCCTCCGCTCATTCAAATGGGAGACCATATTCACATGGGTTGATGAGTGCATGGGGATATGCAACTATTTGAATGAGTGAAGGGGATTATGCCACCTCACTACCAAACACAAATTTTTGTGCTTAGTACCAAGTATACCTATTTTTCTCATATGTGTGTGTGTGTGTGTGTGTGTGTGTGTGTGCGCGTGTGTGTATTCTAAATAATCCACTCCGTTGAACTTAATCTACATATTCTAAAACCCGAACACACCAAGTTTGGGGTGAACCTGTCGTAGTTTGACCATTCATCCACTTGTATCAATTTTAATAGTTTCGTATGAATAGAACTTTTCACATGGCTCGACGGAGGGTCAAACGACGACGGGTTTAACCCAAACTTGGTGTGTTGGGGTTTTAGAATACGTAGATCAAGTTTAACAGAATGGATCATCCATAATGTAGCTCAATTATGTGATTTTAGGCCGTGTCCTTAGATGATTATCTAAGGCGTCACCTTAGGAACACTTTTCCATATATATATATATGGAAAAGTGTTCCTAAGGTGACGCTTTAGATAATCATCTAAGGACGCGATCTAAAATCACATGATTGAGCTACATTATGGATGATCCGCACCGTTGAACTTGATCTATATATTCTAAAACCCAAACACACAAAGTTTGGGGTGAACTTATCGTCGTTAATTTGACCCTCCGTCGAGCCATGTGAATAGTTATATTCATTCGAATCCGTTAAAATTGATACGAATGGATGAAAGGTCAAACGACAACGGGTTCACCCCAAACTTGGTGTGTTGGAGTTTTAGAATATGTAGATCCCATTTTAATTTTTCCTCTAGAGCACATGCTAAATCTTCCCACAAAGTGATAGCTATGGTATTGAACCTGATAAAAGAAAAAATATATTAAATATTTATATTATAATATATATTTATATTATAAAATAAAATATATTAATTATTTATGTTATAAAATAAAATCATAACTTAATCATTGTCATGCTTTGTAAAGTTTCTAACCAAAACTTTTTTCCATTC